AGGCCGTGATCGGGGCCGGGGGTTGTTTTTTTCCCCCCATGACCCCTTTGAAAACCTGAAATCCTGTGTTCCTGTTCAGCTACTACCCAAATTTTGTTCCCGACCCTGTTTTGATCCGGACCTTTGCTGACTTCCCCTGCTTACCCCCTGGTTTGGCCTGACCTTTTCCTCCTCTCCAGCCTGACAAAACGCCTTGGTTTTTGAACCCTGCTATTCCCTGGGTCAGTCCACCCATTTTTTGGTAATCCCCGGGACTCCCTGGTAATCTCTCGACTCGATTACTGCAACTCCCTCCTCATTGGCTTACCTTTACATAGGCCATCCCCCCTCCAGTCCATCATGAATGCTGCTGCCAGGCTCATCCACCTTACCCAACTGTTCAGAGTCTGCCACCCCTCTCTGCCAATCCCTCCACTGGGCTCCATTCAGTGTCTTCCACCCCTCTCTGCCAATCCCTCCAGTGGCCTCCACTCAGCATCCTCCACCCCTCTCTGCCAATCCCTCCAGTGGCCTCCACTCAGTGTCCTCCACCCCTCTCTGCCAATCCCTCCACTGGCCTCCACTCAGTGTCCTCCACCCCTCTCTGCCAATCCCTCCACTGGCCTCCATTCAGTGTCCTCCATCCCTCTCTGCCAATCCCTCCACTGGTCTAAATTCAGTGTCCTCCACCCCTCTCTGCCAATCCCTCCAGTGGCCTCCCACTCAGTGTTCTCCACCCCTCTCTGCCAATCCCTCCAGTGGCCCCCACTAAGTGTCCTCCACCCCTCTCTGCCAATCCCTCCACTGGCCTCTACTCAGTGTCCTCCACCCCTCTCTGCCAATCCCTCCACTGGCTTCCCATTGCCCAACGGATAAAATTAAAAACATTAACAATAGCATATAAAGCCATTTATAACTGCCCCAAATTACATCACCAATCTTGTCTCCAAATATCACCCAAACCGTCCTCTCCGCTCCTTGAATGACCTGCTCTCTAGCTCCCTTGTCTCCTCCCGTGCTCATCTCCAGGACTTCTCCAGAGCTTCCCCCATCCTCTGGAACCCTCTACCCCCCAATTTATCAGACTATTGCCTACTCTGCTCACTTTTAGGCAATCTCTGAAAACCGATCTCTTCAGGGAAGCCTATCCTACCCTCAGCTAATACTGGAATCTTCTACTCCTCCTACCAGTCCATCCCCCACAGTTATTACCTTTTGTACCACTAGCCCCTCCCTCCTAGATTGTAAGCTCCCAGGATCAGACCCTCCTTTCTCTCTTGTATTGAACTGTATTGTTGCTGTATTGTCTCCCGTTATATTGTAAAGCGCTGTTGGCTCTTTATAAATCCTGTATAATAATAATATTCTGTTTCTAACATTATAAAGTATCAGTTTGAGTTCATTGTATGACAACGTTGTTATGTTACAGAAGACGTGAGATAAGAAGTCTCAGTATAATGACCTCATCTTTTTGTAGGATGTATAGGTAGATTTTCCTGCTCCAGAATCTCTTAATACATTATTTGCAGTGATGTTGGTACAAGTTTGTCTGAAACCAACCCGTCAGAAAAGCCGTTATCTGGTAATGTAGTCATGTCCTTACTAGTCAAGGTTAAAGGTCAACCCTTGTCATGTTCCAGAAGACCCAAATCCTTCCCAATCCTATACTGCCCCCTTCAGGTCATTGAAATCTTTACATAGAGAAATGACACCTAGTCTGAGGTCACTTTTAGGTGAAGATAAGCTTTGCCCGCCTAGGTTTATTTGGGGGGATAAAAGTAAGAGACGGATAGAGAAGAGAACACACATCACAAAACAAGACCTCACAAGACAGGAGAGACAAGGGACAACAGATGGACACAGACACCCCCTGAAGTGAGCGCACTGAAAGCTGACATCACTGACACCATACAGTCCATATTGGGAACTAGAACTTTCATTTTCCTCAGATAACTTGTACTCCCCTTATATCTCCAGATACATTTGTTTAGCCGATAACGGTTCTGGTGAGCACAGGAGGGGATGTGACGTCATTTTACCCTGCAGTATAAATTATTATCATTTCCCTCCTCTGGGGAAGATTGATTTTACATATCCCTGAAGCTGATTCTGGCTTCTAGTCAATGGTTTATCCGGATGTATACAGTATATATATGACAAGGTAGACACTACTTCATGTAACATTACATCTTCATCTCAGATTGTAAGCGGATTGGATTGGCCTGTGTATGGGATTCCAGATCAAGTCATGGCAAGGTACACGTTGAGCGTTGAATATCTGGTTGTAGAGATCACGGGGGGGATTTGTATATCTGTTGTCACATGTTGCTGAGTTACTGATTTCTTACACGACATTTCCAGACAGTTGGATGTAATTCATTAATATTTGGAAGTAATTGCTGGCTTGTATTTCTCCCCATTATTGTGGATTAGATCATTGTACTGTTATCTTGTATTGTTTATTATTTATCATCACCTATTATATATTTCATCCCCATTTTGTACTGATTTTGGTTCTGAAAGCGCTGTTGTCAGTTACAAATACAGAAAATGTGTGATGTGAGAAGTGTTCCTAGTAGATGCAGCCATTCTGGTGCCGAATCTGAAGCTATTCTGAGTCAGAGAGATGTCAGAGAATTGGTGACATTTCAGGGGATGTCTTTTGTGAAAGATAAGTTGGACATTAAGCAGGATATGAATGATTGGGTACTGAAATGTGGAGTAGGATTCCAGGGTATACAAATGATATCTGCTCTGATGATTCACGTGTTTGCTGGCTATCTGTATATAATAGCTGAGGATAAAACAAAGAAAGAAAAAGAAACACGGCTGCATAAATCTCGGCCAGAATTTCTTGATGTCATTTTTGAATTGGCAGAACAATTAAATAAAGTAAAATTGGATATCAGGCCAGAGGCTGAGAACGTTAAACACTTACAGAGAAAACTCCATGAGATAGAAACTCAATCTACAAACATTTCTGCTGAGATGGAACAATTGTCAGATAAAATGTTCAATTTTAAGAAAAATTATTTGCAAAATAAAGAATTGATCGCTTCTTTAACCACTTCCAGTCCGGACACTTTCCTTCCTGTCCAGGCCAGTTTTCAGCTTTCAGCACTGTTACACTTTGAATGACAATTGCGCGGTCATGCAACACTGTACCCATATGAATTTTTTAGCATTTTTTTTTTTGAGACAGATAAAGCTTTATTTTGGTGGTATTTATTCACTGCTGGGATTTTTTTTTTTTTGCTATATAAATTAAAAAGTCCAAAAATTTTGAAAAAAGTTTTTTTTCTTATAAAATTTTGCAAATAAATAATATTTCATCATAAACCTTTGCCAAAATGTATTCCATTATCTTTTTAGTAAAAAAAAAAAAAACCAATTAGTGTATAACCAAAAATTATAATTTTTAAAAAAATGTTTTTTAGATTATTATTTATGTTTTTTTTACATACTGTCACCCTAGCAGTACAGTGTCACCATGGTGACACTGTACTACTTGTGGGGGATGATGAAGATTTTTTTTTTACACTGATTATTTTACACCCATAAAGGCTGTAAAAGCAATCATTTCTCCTTCACTCTGGCTGCATTCTTGCAGCCATTGATAAATACTGTGTGAGCTGTGATTGGTCACAGCTTGTCACATGGTACAAGGCTGTTGTGAATAGCCCTGTACTATGTGACCTCTGTGATCATTCACAGATTTCACACATAGTAAGCAATGATGTCAGAAGTGACATCTTGCTTACTACTCTGCATGTGATCACTGATTGGCCAATCAGTGATCACATGATTGGGACCTCACACAGAGGTCCCGTACGACGATCGGTGTTCCACTGTGTCTGGAGGACACAGCGGGCACCGGATCGCATTGCTGCGCACTCCCAGGGAGCGCACACAAGCAGGGGGCGGGGAGGCTGTTTAAACAGCCACCTGCCCCTGCACTGCCTGTTCTGTCTCTCCAATCTAAGCATTGATAGTGTGATCTCTGTAACTTACAGTTGTGATGAGATAGCTATAACTTCAACCTCAGCTGGATACCACAGTCAGTGACTCAATCGATAAGACATCTTGTAGATCTTGTGAAGTTTATTCCATAAACTGAGAGAATCTTACAACAATGAACATTTAATAGGTCAAAAGATCATAATGTTTTTCCTGCTTCATGACATGAGGCTAGAGCTGCAATGCATTCCTGGGAAAGGGGGAGGGCTATCTATACAACATTAACTAAACCAAAGGAAAGGAAGGAGCAGAGAAAAAATATAGAAAACACTTAAAGGCATATGACAGTCATGTGAAACATGACATGACACCCACCATCTGGCCGTTTATATACAACGGCCGGATGGGAGGTGGTTAAGAAATCTAGATCAGATCTCTGAGGAGTTGTCTGACTGTAAAGGGATAAAATCAACTTTAGAAATGAGAATGTGAAAAGCTGAGCATTGCGAATACCCATCTCCAGCATGAGGTAGATGTCCAGAAACCGCACATATCAGCAATTGGTACCGGAGACACAGGAGCTAAAAGCCAGCAGTACAAGGGTTAAACCTTCTACTTGGCAGACTACAAATGTCATTGAACCCTTTAGCAGCTCACACCCAACCATTCTATGAGGCCTAAAATTGTAATCCCATTAAAATCAGAGGATTCAGAATCTGAGAGTAACTACAGTGACCCCCCAGATGAGGATGAAATGCCTTCCAGTAGGGAACATTATCTTCCTAAATTAAGACCCATCTCACTTAATAAACACCCCAAAAGTGAGAGAAAATCCCAGAGGCCTGTGTATGATACCACCAAAGTGATACCATTCCTAACAGAAACTGTGGGCCTCTTTACTAAGAAAGGATCCCCTTCTATAATTGATCACACAGAAACCTACGAGGAGGCGATGATGACCCGAAGTTTGAATTCTGACAAACAGAAAACTGAATTTGTCCCCCATGGGCTTTAAAATAATTGTAATACAGCCCACGATAGGGCACTTCGGGTAGCGATGGCCCAAGCCCTCGGGGGGGCAGTCCAGGTAGCTATAATCTGGGCATGCAATGGGGCAGTTCAGGCAAGGGTAATCCGAGCACACAATAAGGACAGTTTGGGCAAGGGTAAGTTGGGCACATAATAGGGGCAGTTCATGGCACTCCGCAACATGCAGCTTCTAGGGACACTCACAGTAAGCAGCTTGCAGACACTCAGCAGCAGGCGGCTTCTAGGAACACACGCACGGTAAGTGGCTTGCAGACACTCATGGTAGCAGGCTCATGGGACTCAATGGTGTCTTGGCTGTGGAGTCTGACCTCAGCACAGCCCTCACACAGCTCTCTAGGCACAACAGCAGCCTCACGGGGACTCAGGGGTCTTGGCTGTGGAGTCTGACCTCAGCACAGCCCTCACACAGCTCTCTAGGCACAACAGCAGCCTCACGGGGACTCAGAGGGGTCTTGGCTGTGGAGTCTGACCTCAGCACAGCCCTCACACAGCTCTCTAGGCACAACAGCAGCCTCACGGGGACTCAGAGGGGTCTTGGCTGTGGGGTCTGACCTCAGCACAGCCCTCACACAGCCCTC